ACCTCTATCCTACTGCAACTGCTTAACCCCACCGAGTGGCTGAGAGTGGAAATGGCAGCACCCTTCATTGGGTAGGCCTTGCGTCACTGTCACATGGAGCACTGTCTGTCCTGTGGCTGCAGTGGGCATAGTGGAGCCCAGCCAGTCTATACAAGACCTTTAGAGCGAGGGGATTAAGTAAGGCAAGCTGGACAAAAAGTGGATGACTAAAATCCAGCAGCTTTTTCATCTTTATCTGTTTACTTCTTAGTCCTGAACAAGTTGTGCAGGTGTCCCCTCTGCCCCATTCCATCACACAGGAATTATAACCAGGATAGAGTTTTAATTTAGTTTGCTTTGTAGTTAATAGCCTCTCTTCACACCACTACCAGAGCTGGAAGCAGTAATCAGGAATAGCTGGGGGAAGCCCAATAGCAACAGCTGGTGAATAGACACTGAACCCATACTAGACAGCAGTACTTCCAGCTAGGGATGCAACTAGTGATGGAGGAAGTTTCGTAATCCTGCTGCTACAATCGGAGGTTCCAGTGGCAACAGGGCTGGAAGTGCTTGTTTCTCTCCCTGTGCCCTTGGCTTGCTGGGAAAGATCCTGTCCTGGTGATTAATTCATGCTTAGTTGCCCTCCAGACTGGACAACTGGAATGTGTTTGGGGGGAGCTGCCTTTGGAAAACAACTAGAACTACAGCAGGTTCAAAACACCCCTATTCTGGTTTTATAACTACATTGGCTGTACAGTTAGTTTCTGGGTCCGATTTTTATCTTTAAAGCCATAAATGGCCTTAAAAGATTACTTCCTCCTGTTGGAACCATCTGTACACTAATAAGTAGTCCTCTGAAGACTTGTTCCTTGTGCAGCACACAACTGAGTCTTTTGAGCTGCATCTGAGGCTTGACTGGCTTTCTTGTTACCCAATGGAAGTATAAAACCATCTTGCCTGTAGCAGCTTTTGGCTTGTTTAAAAGCAGGAAGAATGTAGAAATGTTTTTTCTTAGAATTGTTGCAGTGGCAATTTTGGGGGGTTTTTTTGTTCTGTTTTACAAATTAAGCAAGCTTCCTTGAAGCCTGAATTGATCACGGTAGCAAAGTATGCTTTAGTAACTAATTCTCCCCCTAGTTTCTCAAGCCCTCCATGCAAATTATAAGACATCGGGAACTATAGAACAGAGGAGCTTCACATCCATCTCTGTTGACGAGGGTGAAGAACTCTGTCTTTGTTGCAAGGTCAGATTCTGCAGGGGATTCCTTGCAACTGCGTGCAGCCCATAAGCTCTGCTCAATGCCCTTTTTCTCCATGGCAACTAACTCTGCTCTCAGAACATGCAAGCTGTGCAACCCATTCAACTATGGCTCTGGAAACAAAAGGAAAGCAGCTATTTTGTTTCAGGAAGATCAAGCTCTACTGAGATTCTAGCATGTACACAGAGAAACAGGTCAGTAAAGATAAGGCTTCAACTGGACAACAGCCCTTCAAGAACACTATGCCAGTTATGAACATAGGATTCAGGCCAGAACACCAGAAGAGAAGAACTCGCTTAGAGGAACACAATCAGGGATGAAATGGCAGGGTGTGTGTGTGTCATTACTTGCCTCAGTATTTGACATTCCCACCCAGTCCCACTTTCACTGACTCTCTGGATGGCACTGATTGTGTTTTATATGTTAACAAAGACTATTAGGCCTTCTAAGTGACCTACAAGTTCCACCAGGTCATAGAGAGCACTATTTCAAGGGTGCAGTGAGGTAGAGATCCTGGCAACTGGGCAAGCATTTTGTGGGATGAGACTAGATGGAATGGTTAATGTAAGCTAGCTACTGCAGAGCAAATGCACTTTCAGAAGAGATGGAAGCATCCCACAATTGTTTTTTATTCGTTTGTTATAATAAGCCATCGTGGAGAACTTTCAGGCTCAAGAGGAAGTGGAAAATATAAAAAACCAGCAGTTGATCCAATAAATATTGTTTTAATTGGGAGCTGCCTTTTTTTCCTTCTTCCCCAAAGCCTAATGGAGGCACAACAGGAATGCAAACCAGAAACCTTAAGGGTGGCAGGACAAAGGAGAGAATGTTTAGCATCCAGCCTAATGAAGAGCTCTGGAGAACTCAAACTGTTTTGTGATACTTGGACCTTCATATGGCTTGTTTCGAATTTTTATCTGGATAACCTCCATCTCTTTCCACATTCTTAGAATGCAGTGTGGTTAAAGACGCCCAACTCCAGCTACTGTCCTAAGAGACCAGGGAATGAGGCCTTGTCCCATCATTTGTTGATCACTTCCAGATTGCATCTCTGTTCTCTTCCCCTTAATAGGACAATTGTAGCAGCCTCTTCCCTGCTTGTTTTGCACCTAACTTTCCCAAGAGCTGGGGGGGGGGGGTGTATTCAGACAGTCCTGGAGTTCCCTGGAAAGATAAAGGATTCTTCAGAGCATTATCAGTAATGGGGAGGGGGGTTCTTCTTTGAAAGAGCTTTAATGCACTTGGCTTGTCCTTAGCTGTGTGAGGATCCAGAAGCCAGGCTAGAATCAACTGCCCGCCCCAGAACATGTCCAAGCCTGGCATATATATAAAGGACGGACTATATAGCAAATGAGTCAGTGTGGAGAGAGTTCTCTGCAAACAGGGTCACTCTGACAGTTCCCAGACCGCTGAAGACACATTTTGGCAGCAGGTTTGCTTAAGGCAGAACTGAAAGCGGAGGGTAAAGGTTAAAGTTTGAGGATTTTTATTGTAATCTTTTTGTACAAAGTAAGACAATGTAGATATATTTCTGAATCAAACACCTTTTCTTTTAAAACCCTGTCTCTTCACAGTATGAGTAAAGAATGCAGCCAGAACTGGAAATCCAATAACAGCGTTTACTCATTACTATATTAAAACCTGTTAGACAAGGTCTCTATAAAGTAGATTTTGTGAAGAATTTACTTCTTGGCACTGGTCCAGGGGGAAGGGGGAGGGAGAAAAGAAAGGAAAACTCCATTATCCCAAGCAAGCAGGGCTGGAGTCTGGCTTCAGGTGCCAAGGGGCAAAAAGAAACAGTATCTGCCTCCCTGCTGAGGAAACTTTCTAAGGATTGCTTAATGAGCTTGTGCACAGAGCTGTACTAATGCTGAGGGTGCAGATCCCACCTTAATATGCAGAATGCACTATACAGTGGTCAGCTGCCTCCTACCCTTTCGGGTTCATCCCTAGAGCTGTGTTCCCAAATGCTAAAAACAAAAGGGCAGTCAGACTGAGACACTGTTACAATAGCCAGATCTCATGCTTTCTAGCAAGCTTCACTGTTGCCCTCTGAACTCTGCTGGGCTAGAGTCCCAACTGCAGAGCAAATAGAAGTGCTTGGATCTGAAGGTTAGAAACATTCAAGATACAATTTAGGCAGAATGCATTTTTGAGAGCCCTGTCTCAGTCAGACAACAGGGTGAGGGGTTTTTTTTGCTACCCAGCAGCAGAACTACGCAAAAACAGGTAGGGAAAGAAAGCACTACCTCCCAGCTCTGATGGACCCGCCAAGGGAGTTCTTCCTGATCAGCAGCCAGGGCTTTGCCTCCCCATCCTGCACAGCCTCACAGGGAAGATGTCTGAACGACCTCAGTCGTATTGAGCAGCCAGACAAACCAGTTTGATTTGTTCACAGGCAAGACGATAATTTTTAGTGGTTGCCCCCCCCTAAACCTGCTCTCATTGTACTATCTGGGGGGAGGAAGAGAAG